CTAGATCTTTTACTCTACTCGCAGCACCTTTGGGTTTATTGTATGACCCTACTGGACTGATTTGGTTCTTAGGTCAATTTCCTGAAACATGAACAGATTCCTATTTCCAAAGGATCAACTAGTGCATACATCTTTTTGGTCATTCATGGATTTGGGACCAGTTATCCAGTAATGTTAACCTGCTTACAGCACCCTTTAGGAATAAACACAAAGAACAGGGGTTGTTTTCTATGTAGGCCATTTAATGCTGACATTCGTCCTCATTCTGGTAGCTAGCTGGTGTAATAGAGAGATATTGGGCTTGGAGTCAGGAAGACAGAAGTTCAAATCCAGCCTCAGAAACTACCTACGTAGGCACTTTATAAATGTTTATTGAGTTACTTGACTGGTTGACGCTGAGCAAATCAACTAAACTCTTAGCCTTAATTTCTCATATACATAAAAGGTAGGATAATAGCACATACTTCTCAGGGTTGTTGTGAGTATCAAATAAGATAATTTTATCACTTACCCAAGAGGTCTATTTTTAGATCAGAAACCTAATCTGTGATCAAGATGGAAGCATGGAAAGGCCATATTTCCATGGGCAGCCTAAGATGGGTTGGCTTCATGGGATAGCCACCTCACTTACAAAGTCTGTGTGGTCTGAGCTAACCCGGCTCTTTGGGGTCCAGGCACTAGTTGGAGTTATCACTGTTCTCCCCACACTGAAACCATAGCATAGGATGTAAATCAAAGGGCCCTGAATTTCCCGTGGTTCCATGTTTCCAACTGTGTTTAATTGAGGTACTATAGATATTAGGTAAATAAAAGTCAGATCCTGTGAATATTCCTAAAGTTTTTTTTCTTTCTTTCTTGGCCCTGGTAACAATAACAGATATTTAAATAGCACTTTAAGAATTGGAAATACTTTGCATACATCATCTCATTTAATCCTCAAAACAGCCTCCATGAGGTCAGTATTGTAGGCATAACGATCTCTGTTTTATGGATGAGGAAATAGATTCTGAAAGGTTGTGACTTCTCTATGGTCACACTGTTAGTAAAGGTCAGTGGCAGGATTTGGTGTTTCCTGATTCCATGCCCGGTGTTCTTTTAGTTATGCACATCTTTACAATCCAGTGACTGGCCTTATTCCTCACTCCCAAGATGCTCCATTTCCCAACTTGGAATATTTTTTCAGGCTATGTCCTCTGTACCTGGAATGTTCTCACTCCTCATCTCTGCCTACTGGCTTCCCTGGCTTCCTTTAAGTCCCAGCCAAAGTCCTAGCTTCTATAGGAAGAAGTCTTTCCCAATCCCTTTTAATGCTAGTAATGTGAATATTCTGGAGTATGGGTTAGCGACATAGAAGAGCTTCTAGACCAGGAATGCTTAAAATGGGGTCCATATAAACTTTTTTTTAAAAATTATATATGCATTTCAATATCACTGGTTTCCTTTGTAGTTCTGTATATTTTATTTTATCCATTTAAGCACATTATTCTGAAGACTCCAAAGGCCATTTCATCAGATAGTCAAAGGGGTCCATGACACACAAAAACTCATGTTTTAAACCCAACAACCTATTCTCTTCCTGAGACCGAGTTCCATGTAACCATGGTTTCCATGTCATTCATGTCTTTAATGGCTAGCACAAATCATTTCCACTTTCTTTGATTATCTATTCTTCCTCAAACTGACCAGGCCAAGATTGGAGAGATAGCTGAGATAGGGTTTAGTGTCGGTCAGACCGTCTGCTGAGGAGACTAAAGATTGTACTAAGTCTTGTCTGACCTTCCTTTATCAACTATATTGGGAAGTGATATGGTACAAGGAAGAAAGGAAATAGATTTGGAAACAAAGGATGTGGGTTTGAATCTTGCTTCTGCCACTGACTCCCTGGGTAAAGTTGGCTTTGGATAACTGACATGTAATCCCTTAATTGGACTATATTTGAAGACTTTTTAGCTTAGTAGGACTTGTATTCCTTTGGTCTAGTCTTTAAGAATATTGTGTCACTACATCATCCCACTGAGGCATCTGAGTACTGTGCCTCAGTTTATTCATTTGTAAATTGGAGGATGGGACTTTATGACTTCTAAGGTATCTTTCAGCTCCATCTTATCACCTGCGTGACTTTGGGAAAATCATTTTCCTTCTCTGTCTTGGTTTCCTCATCTATAACATAAGAGCGTTGGACAAGATGACCTACTAAGGTCCTTTTAGCACTAAATCTATGAAGGATTCTAGGCTTCTACTTTGACAGTGGCAAAGGAAGAATTCTCCCTTGGTTTATCAAGAGGATAGTTGAACTGAATAACAAGAGTGGTTTAACTGAAAAGATTTTTGTAATCATGGTTAGAGACAAACAGCATTGTTATCATGTTTTGGCATGGCTCTGGGGTGAGTGGGATTGCTCAATTTGAGATGCAAACACAAGTGAGTGTGTGGTTTTGATAATATTTGTGAGGATTTCCAATTTTTGCTGCTGGGCTAAATTCTTTCCATTTCAAGCTCTGTGAGGAAAAAAGTTTTATAATGTAGGTTAACTTTTGCGGTTTAAGGTTTTTTCTCTCCAATAGATATGAATGACAGATTTTTAAAATCAATATCCTCTATCTTGCTTTTTTTTTTAAGCAAGGAAAGGCAGGTAGCAGACTGTTCAATAGTCAGTCAGCCAGCACACATTTATTAAATGCTTACTATGAATACAAAAAGAGGCAATCATTAATAGAAACACTAGCTGTTCTTCACTTTCCTCCCCTAAAGTCCCACTCTGATGCCTCCCTTTAGATTATAAACTCCTCTAGTAGATAGTAAGCTCCTTGAGGGCAAGGTCTATCTTTTGCTTCTTTCTGTATCTCCAGAGTTTATCACAGTGCTTGGAATATAGTAGGCATTTAATAAATGCTGATTGATTAATTGATTGAGAATTGAATTGAGCCTGTATTCTGGAGGGCCAAATCCATACAACAGAAGCTCTGGCAGTTCCTACAAGGTATGGTCTCAGAAATGCAGGTCAAACCAATACACATTTATTAAGCACCTATTATGTGTCAGGCATTGTTCTAAGCATTGGGGATGCAAAGAAAGACAAAAACATGGTCCCCACTCTCAGGTAGATCACATGTTAATAAAAAATATATTGTATGTCTGCTGTCTGAGGCCTAGACTTGTTAAATTTTAGAAGGCTCATCAGTTGGTTGACTACAAAAGTTGATGAACTTTTCAGCCAAAGAAATTTGCAAAAAAAAAAAATTCTACTAAATTATTTAGAGATTATGATCTATGTCTATGTTGGTCAAGATTGGACTAACACTGAAGAAATCAATTCAATCTTTTTTTTTTTTAATGTGCCTACTACATACCAAGTACTGGAGATGTGAAGAGCTTGTATTCTCTAGGCAGAGACAATGTGCTCATATATAATGACATAAGATATGCGAAAAAAGAAATCCAAGGTAATTTTGTAGGTCAAGCCACTAGGACCTGGACCTGGAAAGGTTCCATGTGGGAGGTGCCTGAAACTGAGCTTTGAAGGAGACCGGAGGTTTTAAGAGGCAGGGCCAAGAAGAGAAGAATCAATACCTGAGATAAGCAGTAAGCATCTCTAATTTGAGCAGGCTGGAGAGGACACAAACAAGCAACATGAATTCTGTCTGAGCCTCAGTTCCGCCACTGGTTGAAAACAGCAAATACTTATTATAAACTATGTGCAGAGAGCACAGTGTTAGATCCTGGTGGAGATATACTTAGATAAGACCGCAGTCATGGATCTTATAGTCACGTAGGAGATCACTGTACATATGAATTCATCTGTTTGTCTATTTGTCTTTATCATCTATCTCAAATCTCTGTCATCTCTCTATCATCTGTCTATCTAGATATTTGTCTAATAATAATAGCATGTATATAGTGCTTTAAAGTTTGCAAAACACTTTACAAATAATTAATTTTATCCTCATAACAACACTGGGAGGTAGGTGCTTTTATCATGCCCATTTTACAGATGAGGAAACTGAGACAGGTAAAGATTAAGCAACTTGGCCAGAGTTACATAGTTAATAAGTGCCTGAGGACAGATTTGAACTCAGGGCTTCTTTATTCTAGGAACAGACTTCTATCCACTGAATCATCCAGTTGCCTCTATTATACATCTCAATCTATAATAATTCATGGGTTATATATAGTTCAGTGTATTGAAGGAGTCAAGGAAAAATGTGTTTGGTTCAAGGGTAGAGAAGTTGTTACTGACTGGGGGAAATCAGGGAAGACTTCATGGAGCGGACTCCCTTTGAGCTGGGTTTTACAGGACAGGTAGAAATCCAACAGATGAAGTGGGAATCCTATGAACTTGAAAGAGTGAATGCACGCCTTCATGAATTTCTGAAGCCACATGCACACTGCAGTGGTCTAGAAAGAAATTTGACTGTGTCAGGAATATGGCATTCTGATGAAATGTTGTGGAGAAAGTCAGAGTTCTGGAAACAACAGTGGCCTATAGGTTAGGCAATCTGGAGGTTTGACTCTCCAATTAGCTGTATGATCAGGGTCAAAACCCCTGACTTCTCTGAGTCTTAGCTTCCTCACCTGCAAAATAAAGCGATTGGACCAAATGACCTCAAACACCTTTCTAGCTCTAATAAAAGACCCATTGCTTTCTGTTCATTTTGAAATGTGTTATGTTAACTATTTCCTTCCTCAAGTGATAATTTCAATGGATATGACAATCTTGGTGTTTCTATACCGAGCAAAAAGGAAGCCTGCAAAAACTATTGAACTGAATTACCATTTTGGAGAATCATTCGTCTATTTGTTATTCTTAGGAGTACTCCTCAAGTGAGCTGCTCCCAGACTCCAGGCTGTATGAAAGGGCCTCCAAACCCTATCAAAGTTGTGTACTAATCAAAGGTTCGCTTCCAGATAAAGCTATTCATTTATTTCTTTAAAGATAATTTTAAATGGTTTTTGACTTAGCCTGCCCAGTGTAATAATGTCCTTTTCTTTCTCTTGTGCAGGAGAAGATAAACCCACCCAACTGACGGAGTGGCTTTTGTCCGTGCTCATGGCTACTGCCTGCTTTCTTCTGTTGACTCTCTTCTTCATATGTCGGATGTAGGTATCTGCTAGGCTTGTTCTAGGGGCACCCAGTAGAACCAATAAGCCCTGGCTTTTTGCCCACTCATCACTTATCCCTCCCATCCTCCAGCGAAACAATTTCATGCACAGAAAAGGAAGGCATCAAAACTGTTCATCTGTGGGCCTTTACTGAGATTATTGATGTCTAAACAAGAGGGAGAAAATCAATAGCTGATCTATGGAGACACAAGCACCAGGAAGCTGCTGGGAGCCAGAAGCTCTGCCCTTGAATCTGCAAATAGTGTGCTAATTTTTGTGAAGGCCTATAAATTATTCAAACAGCTCTTGATTTCTTTGCTGATTTCCCTTACGTGTTTTGTTGCCATTTTTGGAGGGCCAGCATGTCCCTTTTTACGTGGCAGGTGTTCCTTTCGGTATAGTCGGCTCTCCCCACTGTGAGCTGAAATAACAAGCAGACCCCCCTGCCATGGCCGTGTGATTACTTTGGACTTGGGTAGGCATTTGCTGGCTCCCCAGCCTGCCTGTCCCCAACTGGCAAATTGCATGTGACCCGAGCGATGCTTCCTGTGATGACATGCATGTATGAAGAGAATCTAGATGTCGGGGGAAGAGTGTGCTGGGTTTTTCCCCCCCCCTTTTTCCCAAGTAATTTCAAATAGTCCTGCTCAGAAACTAATATGTCATTCAATATACTTAAGAATGTTCTCATTTTTAGCCCTCGTGTGATTTTTGAAAATGGCATTTTCAGAGATGATTATGTTTCTGCATAATTTCATCATTATTAATTAGTAAGTTCTTGTGTATACCCACAAGGAAGGCACAATTCAGAATGGGCTGTTATGATTCATCTAATAAGGGTATTATCAGAGGCTTTCCATATATGATTTTTAAGGATTTAGGAACAATAAAAATATTCATGTGAAAGCAATTCTGAATATGATTTAATTTTTCTTGTATGGTTCAGAAGGACTTTGTGATATTTATGGGTCAGCACTAGGGATGTCAACCATCACTGTTGATATACTAGCAGCTGTTGTGTATTGCCTTCAAAGTTGGATAACCTCGGTATTATCTCTCTCAGTTACTAGCTGTGTGATCATGGTAGCTCAACATCTCTGAACCCCAGGCAACGACACATGCTGATTTAAATGGGTAGAGCAAGTGTCTTATAATCATGAACCACTGGTCTGGTTAGAACAGCAACTCCTACTTCGTAGCGCTGTTGTGAGGATCATAATGAGATAAAGGCATATTAAGAGACAGGAACCAGGCCTACAGGAATACCCAAATGAGGAAATTCACTCTACCAATGAAGATTGGTTCTTTTTCATAGTCTTAGAGAATTGTCTAGAGCATTAAGAGGTTAATTGACTTGCCCAGGGTCACACAGTCCTTATGTGTCAGGGTCAGGACTTGAACCCAGGTTCCCCTGGTTCCCAGGCTAGCTCTCTCTCTCCACTTCCACCACATTGCCTCAAAGTGCCTGCATTGTACTGTGTGTGTCAGCTGTTTGTGGCAGTCTTGGTCAATAATGATTCTGAGTGGTTAGAATGCCAGTATGTTTACTGTAGTGTGTATCCTTCCCCCTTCCCCAAATTTAATATAGCATTTTTTTATATTACAGTCATATTAAATATATTTCCACATAAGTCCTGTTGTGAAAGAGGAATCAGAACAAAAGGGAAAAGCCATAAGAAAGAAAAAAACAACAAAAAAAAGTGAAAATAATATGCTTCAATCTGCATTCAGATTCCATAGCTCTTTCTCTGGATGTGGATAGTATTTTCCATCATGAGTCTTTTGGAATTGTCTTAGATCATTGTATTGCTGGGAAGAGCTAAGTCTATCAAAGTTGGTCATTGCACAGTGTTGTTGTGTAATGTTCTCTTGGTTCTGCTCACTTCGATCAGCATCAGTTCATGTAAGTCTTTCCAGGTTTTTCTGAATTTCTTATAGCACAACAGTATTCCATTACATTCATGTATCACAACTTGTTCAACCATTCCGCAATTGATGGGAATCCCCTCAATTTCTGATTTTTTGCCACTACAAAAAGAGCTTCTATATAAATATCTTTGTACATGTGGGTCCTTTCCCCTTTTTAAAAATTATCTCTTTGGGATACAGACCTAGTAGTGGTATTGCTGGATCAAAGGGTATGCACAGTTTTATAACCCTTTGGGCATAGTTCCAAATTATTCTCCAGAATGGCTGGATCAGTTCACAATGCCACCAGCAATGCATTAGTGTTCCAATTTTCCCACATCTTCTCCAACATTTATTATTTTCCTTTTCTGTCAGATTCTTGAATCTGATGGGTGTGAGGTGGTACCTCAGGTATGTTTTAATTTTCATTTATCTAGTCAACAGTGATTTAGAGCATTTTTCATGTGACTATAGATAGCTTTAATTTCTTCATCTGAAAACTGCCTGTTCATGCCTGTTGACCATTTATCAATTGGGGAATGACTTGTGTTCTTATAAATTTGACTTAGTTCTCTCTATATATTTTAGAAATGAGGCGTTTATCAGAAACACTGGCTGCAAAAATTGTTTCCCACTTTTCTGCTTTCCTACTAATTTTGGTTGTGCTGGCTTTGTTTGTTGCAAAACTTTTTTTAGTTTAGTGTATTCAGAATTATCCATTTTGCAGTTCATAATGTTCTGTCTCTTGTTGGTCATAAATTCTTCTATTCTCCATAGATCTGACAGGTGAACTATTCCTTGCTCTCCTAATTTGCTTATGGTATCACCCTTCATGTCTAAATCATGTACCCATTTTGACATTATCTTGGTATATGGTGTGAAATGTTGGTCTACGCCCAGTTTCTACCATACTGTTTTCCAGTTTTCCCAGCAGGTTGTTAAATAGTGAATTCTTATTCCAGAAGCTAGAGTCTTTGGGTTTATCAATCAATAGATTACTATAGTCTTGTGTATCTAGCCTATTCCACTGATCCATGACTCTATTTCTTAGCCAGTACCGAATAGTTTTGATGATTGCCACTTTATAATATAGTTTTATGTCTGGTATAGCTAGGCTACCTTTCTTTGCATTTTTTAATTCCCTTAATATTCTTGACTTTTGTTCTTCCAGATAAATTATTATTTTTTCTAGCTCTATAAAATAGTTTTTTTGGTAATTTGATTGGCATGTGCTGAATAAGTAAATTAATTCAGGTAGAATTGTCATTTTATTATATTAGCTTGGCCTATCCATGAGCAATTGATATCTTTCCAATTGTTTAGATCTGACTTTATTTGTTTGAAAAATGTTTTGTAATTGTGTTCACATAGTTCCTGGGTTTGTCTTGGCAGGCAGAATCCTAAATATTTTATATTTTCTATAGTTACTTTAAATGGCATTTCTCTCTCTTTCTCTCTCTTGCTGCTGGGATTTGTTCATAATATATAGGAATTTGATGATTTATGTAGGTTTATTTTATATTCTGCAACTTTGCTAAAGTTGTTAATTATTTCAAGTAGTTTTTAAAGTTGATTCTCTAGTATTCTCTAAGTAGACCATCATATCATCTTCAAAGAGTGATAGTTTTGTTTCTTCAGTGCCTAGTCTAATTTCTTCAATTTCTTTTTCTTCTCTTATTGCTAAAACTAACATTTCTATTACGATATTGAATAATAGTGGTGATACTGGGCATCCTTGTTTCACCTCTGATCTTATTGGGAAAGCATCTAGCTTATTCCCCTTACATATAATGCTTATACCACTTTAAGAAAAAACTCCATTTGTTCCTATGCTCTCTAGTGTTTTTAATAGGAATGGATGTTATATTTTGTCAAAGGCTTTTTCTGTATCTGTTGAGATAATCATATGATTTCTGTTAGTTTTGTTATTAATATGGTCAATTATGCTGATAGTTTTCCTAATATCGAACCAGCCCTGCATTCCTGGTATAAAGATTGTCAGATTTATTGGCATGCAGCTGGGAAAAATAGCTTCTAATTATTGCTTTAATTTCCTCTTCATTGGTGGTGAATTTGTGCTTTTCATTTTTGATACTGATGATTTGGTTTTCTTGTTTCTTTTTTTAATCAAATTAACCAAAGACATCTATTTTATTGTTTGTTTTTTTTAATAAAGCTGACTCTTAGTTTTATTTATTAGATCAATAGTTTTCTTATTTTCAGTTTTATTAATCTCTCATTTGATTTTCAGAATTTCTAATTTGGGGATTTTGGGGGGATTTTTAATGTTCTTTTTCAAGCTTGTTTAGTTGCATGCCCAATTATTGAGTTCCTCTTTCTATATTTTATTCATGTAAGCCTTTAGAAATATAAAATTTCCCCTAAGTACTGCTTTGGCTGCATCCCATAAATTTGGGTATGTTGTCTCATTGTTATTCTCTTTGATGGAATTATTGATTGTTTCTGCTATTTGTTGTTTGACCCACTCATTCTTTAGGATTAGATCATTTTGTTTCCCACTAGTTTTTAGCCTATCTTTCCATGGCCCTATATTACATGTAATTTTTATTGCATCATGATCTGAAAAGGATGCATTTAATATTTCTGCCCTTTTTCATTTGATTGTGAGGTTTTTATGCCCTAATATATGATCAGTTTTTGTGTAGATGCTATGTACCATGGAGAAAAAGGTATATTCCTTTCTATTCCCATTCACTTTTTTTCCTGAAGTCCATCATATATAACTTTTCTAAAATTCTGTTCACTTCCTTAACTTCTTTCTTGTTTATTTTGTGGTTAGATTTACCTAGTTCTGAGAGGGAGAGGTTGAGGTCCCCCACTAGTATAGTTTTAGTGTCTATTTCTTCCTATAACTCACTTAATTTCTCCTTTAAGAATTTGGATGCTATACTATTGACAAATTCATATTCCCCTTTGAGGTTTTGCACATAGACATTCTGACATTGTCGTCCTCTTCTGAGTTTGTGTTTTGATCTTCCCTGTGTCATAGTAGCTTTCTGTGGTCAGGGCTCTATTCTGTTTCTTGCTCATTTTTTAGCTTATTTTGTGGCTTTTGAGCTGTGCTTCTGGGGCACAGAGGGCACTGTCGCCAGCTTCTTGTGCTGGGGGTCCAGGGGCCTGGACATTGACTTTCTGCTTTAAGGCCTCAGGCGCTGGCAGCTTGCCCACTGTGCTGGGGTGGCCTCAGCCCAGTTATGCCTGGTATGTCCTGGGTTCTGGGGCTGGAGTGCCTTCTGTGCTGGGGCTGGAGGCCTCACAGTTGGCCTGCTGTGCCTCTGGCCTTCTAAGCCAGGACTGTGGGGCCTTGGTTGTTGATCTGTTCTGGGACTAAGAGCCTCCCTGATGGCTTGCCTGGACACCATCTGTGCTGGGCTGCACTCCCCTCCTACCCAAATGAGATAGGCCTTTCCTGAAGTCCTTCCAATTTATCTTAAGCTAGATAATGGTTTCCCTCTGTCTTTTTGTAGCTTCTGTTGCTCCAGAATCCATTTAGAGGCTTGATTTAACATTGTTTCTGAGGGCAACTGGGGACAGCCAAGGCGACTTCCCAGCTTCTCTCCACCATCTAGTGTGTATCTTTTAAGGGCCACTTCTAGAGCAAAGCTCTCTGGCCAGAGAACAAGTGACCTTGTTTAAAATCTCTCCTTTACCTCTTTTTCAGCTGCCAGGTATGGACCAAATTATTTCCTCCCATTCCAGCACCAAACAGGAAAGTGAAGGATCTCTCCTTAAGCTACATCTATGAGGTGATTTCTGAAGAGTCTTCATATCTAGCCTGCTTAAAAATACTTATGTAGTATGCTGAAATGGTACATTGAGTTTTGATGTAGTGAAAGGATTATGTTGCTGAGGACACCTGTGTGCTATTTTCTCTCTGTCTCTCTTTTTGTCTGTCTCTGTCTCTGCCTCTTTCTGTCTCTCTCACATACACACACAGACACATATCCTCATACAAAGACACACATACACACATAAACACATATGCACATACACAGACACACACACGCACACACACACGCACACACACACACACACACATTTGTACCTCTTTGGGCAAGAATATTTGTATATTTTAACAGAATCACCTGGTCATTTCAGTTAAACAACTTGCCAAATTGCTTTCTTCTTCCCCATTTCTAGACTGACTCTTCAGTTGTATCTAAGAAACATCGATTTTAAAGCTAGAGGTTACCTTGTCTAACCACCTCATTTTGTAGATGATAAACTGAGGTAAACAGAGGTTAAGTGACTTGCCCAGGGTCATATAGCTAGTAAGTGTCTAGAATGGGATTTGAAGCCAGGTCTTCCTGTTTCTAAAGTCTGGCACTCTCTCCACTTTACCATACAGCGTTTGGTAATTGTGGTTGTGTCAACGGCTTTCATTGACTTGCACATCTTCTGCTGCATTCACTTACTAGGGAAAGGTGGCATAATCTTTTTCTCCAGCACAATCAGCTAGGGTGCAATTCATTCATCTAACAGATCTTTATAGGGTGCTTTTGTGGTACAAAGTCATCCGGGAAGCAGTCACCTCTTTGGCAGGGACTGGGTATGTTTCAACTTTCCTACACAGACCTGAAATGGACACCAGAAATGGCTGAGCCCAGGTAAACAGAGACCAGAGGCAATGTCTTAGACAATTGAGGCTTTTCCCTGCTTCGTCCGTATCCTTGGTTCCCCTTTGTTCTGGAAGCACAAGGTCAGCTTAGACAAAACTGTCCCCAGCATTTTGGAAAGGGGAGCCCAGTGACTAAGAGTCTGCCGCCAAGCAGACGTTTGACTGCCCTTCCAGGCTGTGTTTGAAATTCCTCTGAAATTGGACCTGACCTGCATTCTCCTAAGAACCACAGGTGATGTGAGCAGCAGTCTTAAGTCCTTTGTCTGAGCCTCTTAATGGGTCATTTTAATGCTTGTATCTGATTTCCCCACAGAAAACAAGCCGTTCCTATTGAGAGCAAAAGGAGTAGGCTTAAAAGCTTATTTGATAAGCTCATGGTTTGTTTTTAATTAAAAGTAAAAGCATCTGTTCAAAATAACCTGACCTGGGGAGGAACTAGTGGATTTCAGCATAAGCAAATAGCAAATATTAATGTTAGAGCTAAGCCCAACCTGGCTTCCCAGGGCCTCTTATCCTCTTGCCGTGTTGTTCTTTCCCATTAAACAACCTCAGCAATTAAAGAGAGAAAAAAAAAAAGAAACAAGGAAAATGAGGGAATTGAATGCTGCAGGGTGCCCAAAGGACGGAAATTCTCCAGTCACCGGAAAAATGGTAGAACCCATTCCAGCTTTCCCATATGTGGTCTTCCCCTCCTCTACGCTCCCCAGCTGCTTCCACCATCACACAAAGCAATCCCCACCAAGGGCCCTGCTCCAACTTGGTTTGGCTCCACTCTTAATAGAGGCAGTGAGGGGCCCATTCAGTGCCAGTGGTGGCAACAGCTTTGACAGTACAGGCAGCAGCCCAGTAGGAATCAGCTAGAAAGTGTTAGGAAGGAGAGGAAATGGTGCAGGGGTGTTGATCATTTCTAATTACAGCTGGCATCCCAGGAGTAGTGCTAGAAGCAGTCTGGGGCTTTGGGGATCTCTGCCTTCCAAGAGCTCTCAGGGTAAGGGTTTGCCAAGTAAGTTTTTGCCTGTTCAGATCCCAGTGAGAAGCCATTCTGACTATGATGTCAACAGGTAGTTTGTTTTGCATCATGCAGATGAAAGAACCAAAGGGCTTCATTCCTGACTGCTGTTTACTGTGTGACCTTGGACAACTCACTTACCTTCTCTGGTCCTCAGTATCCCCTTGGAAAAATGAAGGTTGTGGACCAAATGATTCTTACCAGCCTTAAAGGCTATGATTCTATGAATCTTTCCTCTCTAGTCAGTCAATTAACAAACATTTCTTAAGTGCTTAGTATGTGCCAGACGCTGCTCTAAGTGCTAGAGGTACAAAGAAAAGCAAAAATTCTGTCTCTGCCTTCCCTCAAGGGGTTTACATTTTAATAGGAGAGACAATATGTAAATAAGGTGATATATTCAGAGTAGGTGGAATCTTAGAGGGAAGGCCCAGTGAAAGAGAGCCAGGAGAGGCTGGGAAAGGTCTCCTGAAGAATATAGAATTTGAGCTGAGGAAGCCAGGGGAGCCAAGAGAGGGATGCCTCCTCCCTCCTCAACAGCTTGGCTTTAATTATGACGGGAATGGCTTTTTCTAAATGTTAAAGTAAGTTTAAAATCGGCTTTGAAACACGTTGATGTTTTCTCCCAAATGTAGGAAGGTAGCACAGTGCTGTGAACAGATGTCTGGTGTTTAAATCCTGCCCGCTGCTCACTATCTCTGTGACTTTGGCCAGGGCCTGGCCCTTAGTTTCCATCTTTCAAATGAGTTGTTCAGACTAGATCATCTATAAGGTCATTTTTGGCTTTAAGTCTATGATCTTATGACTTGTATGACCTTGGGCAAGTCACTCCAGTTTCAAAGGGCCTCAATTTTCTGATGGGTAAAATGAGGAGACTAGATGACCATCAAGGTCCCTTCCAGCTCTAGTCTGATCCTAATTCAAAGGTTTTATTATTGCTAGAGTTATGCGTAGAAAAGGTCAACATATTTAACTGGGATATGGGAGGTAAAATTGCATACACTGCATTATTTGGGATTGTTTCTCTTAAAGAATATATAACAACACCCTTGAAACCAAGCTGTGTGACCAGCCTTGTGGACAACCAGGGTATCTTTAGGGGCTTTCTTCCAAGGGGCTGAAGTCAAAGCAAATAACTTTATTTCCTAATATTTGTTTTCCAGAAAACCAGGTCCAGTGAAACAGAAATCGAAGTCATAAGTTATGTGGAAGACCCTGGATTGGACAATTTGGATGATTCTGTATTTTGATATTCACTGATATAGTCCAAGGTAATGCTCTGGACCATACCGGGACAGACAAGGATAGATGGGCTATTCTTCTGGGACTCAGCCTTCCTTCCGACATCTTGGTGCTCAGATTTCAAGTGGCATCCCATTGAACTACAACACCCTCCACCCAACTGTATCTTCCTGGTTTGGTTTTGTTTGTTTTTTTGAAGTGGGACTTGTTAGTTTCTCTCTGATCACAGCAAGGGGACTGAAGATGCCCAGGTGCAAGTCAGGGGCTTTCAGGCTTTTGACGAGCAGGTTTCTAATGCAAATGGAACTTTATGTTGTTCACATCAGCACCAGTCTAGGCATTCTCTTTGGAAGGGTTCAACCAAAGGACTCAGGAAGACACTATATGCTGGCCTTGCTTTTGTAAATATGTCTATTGGCCTGCTTACTAAGAATGAGGTCCATGAGTTCAAAAGTTCTTTATGTCTCAAGAGTCACGGGAACAGTTTTCTTGTGTGTATACACATATATGTTTTATAAACAAAGAATGGTCTAGGGAGTGTGTATGTGTGTGGGGTGGAGCCAGGATGGAGGAAAAAAAGGCAAGGACTCATCTGAGCTCTTCTGAATTCCCCTCCAAACAACATTAAAATGATGCCTCAAAATGAATTCTGAAGTGGCATAACCAATAAAAGGATGGGGTGAAGCAATTTTCCAGCCCAAGACAATTTAGAAGGTTGTCAGGAAAGGTCTGTCTCACTGGAATGAGAGTGGAGCACAATCCAGTTCGGGCTGTGCCAGGGTAGGGTGGGCCCTAGCAAGCCAGCAGCAGGCCATGGGGGAATCAGTGGAAGCAACTTCCAGAGCTTTCAGCCCACAGATGATGAGGAGGTCACAGAACTGGCCAGAAGGAGATGACGGGAGACCCTTTGCTGGTATTGGGAGCAGGATTCTGTCGACTTGCCCATATGTGGTTCTGGGTGAGAGTCCCAGGGCAAGAGGAGCACTAGCCAAGTGCAGACCCTGGTCACAGGTCCAGAGTTGAAAAGAGTGCTTGTAATCACTCCCAGACCAGAGCACAGGCCAGGAGAGCAGTGACTTCACCTCTCCTTAGATCATACCACCTCAGAAGAACTGGAAACATACACAGCCCCAGAACTAGCTCTAAAAATAGCAGTACACACACACACACACACACACACACACACACACACACACACAACAAAACAAAACTCTGAAGCTTGGGACAGTGCCCACTCCATCCTGGGAACAGAGCTCAACTTTAACATAAAGTTAAAAGTCAAGAAATAAGCTGGAAAAATGAGCCTACAATAACAAAAGGAACTGACCAGAGAAAGTTACTATGGTGACAGAAAAATCAAGACACAGACTCAAGAGAAGATAACAACATCAAAACAGCTACATGAAAAGCCTCAAAGAAAAATGTACATTGTTCTCGGGCCCAAAAAATAATTCCTGGAAGAGTTGAAAAAGAATTTTCAAAGTCAAATAAGAGAAGTAGAGGGAAAATTGGGAAAATAAATGAGAGTGATGCAAGAAAGTAATAATAAAAAAAAGAGTCAACAGCTTGATAATGGAGGCACAAGAAAATACTGAAGAAAATAACTCCTTAAAAGTGGAATAGGTCAAATGGTAAATGAGGCACAAAAGTCCAATGAAAAGGACTCTTTGGAAAGCAAAGTTAGCCAAACAGAAAAATATGTACAAAATTTCATTGAATAAAAGAACTACTTAAAAAGTAGAAGTGGCCAAATGGAAAAAATAATATGAAAGTTCACTGAGGAAAATAATTCATTAAAAATTAGAATTGGACAAGTGGAAGCTAATGATTCCATGTGACACCAAGAAACAATAAAACAAAATCAAAAGAAAGAAAAATAGAAAAAATAGGAAATATTAGAAAAAAACCTGCAATAATTTAAGAATTATTGGACTATCTAAAAACCATGATGAAAAAAAAAAGAAACCAGACATCACAGTTGAAGAAATTATCAGAGAAAACTGCCACAATATCCTAGAACCAGAGGGTAAAACAGAAATTGAAATAATCCTTTTATCACCTCCTGAAAGAGATCCTCAGATGAAAACTCCTAGGAATATTATAGCCAAATTCCACAGCTCTCCAGTCAAGGAGAAAATATTGCAAACAATCAGAGAGAAAGAATTCAAGTATCATGGAGCTACAGTCAGGATAACACAAAATTTAGCAGCTTCTAAATTAAAAAATTAGAGGGCAAACAAGCTAGGATTACAACCAAGAATCAACTACCCAGCAAAACTGAATATAATCCTCCAGGGGAAAAAAAATGGATATTTAATGAAATAGAGGACTTTCAAGCATTTCTGATGAAAAGACCAGAGCTGAATAAAACATTTGTCTTTCAAATACAAGACTCAAGAGCATAAAAAAGATAAACAGGAAAGAGAAATCATAAGGGAATTGATAAAGTTAGAAGAACTTTATCATTATTAGGGTAGTTAGAAGAAGTATACATAGAGGGCATGGGTGTGAGTTGATTCTGATGGGGTGATATCCCAAAAAATGAAATTAAGAGATGAGAAAAAGGAAGGCTCTGGAGGAGGGGAAAGGGAGAAATAGAATGGGATAAATTATCTTACACAAAAAGAGCACAAAAGAACTTTTACAGTGGAGAGGAAAATTAGGGGGTAGTGGGCAAACCTCATTTTCATTGGAATTAGCTAAAAGAGGAAATAACATACACACTCAGTTGGGCATAGAAATCTATCTATCTTATCTTACAGGGAAGTAGAAGGGGAAGGAGACAAAAGAAAGGGTGGGAAACTGATAGAAGGGTGTGTGGATTGGTGGAAGCAGTGGTCAGAAGCAAAACACTTTTGAGCAGGAAAGGATGAAAGGAGAGAGAGGATAAATGGGAAAAAAAGTAGGATGGAGGGAAATAAACAATAATCATAGTTGTGAATGTGAACGGGATGAACTCATAAAACAGAAGCAGACAGCAGAGTGAATTATATGATTTAGATTGAAGGGTGATACCACAAGCAAATTAGGGGAGCATGGAAGAGATTAGCTGTCAGATTTATGGATAAAAGAAGAATTAAGGACCAAACAAGTGATAAGAGAGCACTATAGGATGTAAAATGGATAATTTTGCTAATTAAATTAAAAAGGTTTTGCACAAACAAAACCAATGCAATGAAGATTAAAGAAAGAAGAGAATTTGGGGAAAAGTATAGCAAGTTTCTCTGATAAATGCCTGATTTTTCTAATATATAAAGACCTGAGTCAAATTTATAAGAATACAAATTATTCCCCAATTAATAAATAGTCAAAGGATATGAACAGGCAGTTTTCAGAAGAAAAGATCAAAGCTTTCTATAATTATATAAAAATGCTTTAAATCACTATTTATTAGAGAAATGCAAATTAAAACAACTCAGAGGCACCACCTCATACCTTTAAGATTGTTTAATATGACAGAAAAGGAAAAGTACAAATGTTGGCAGGAATGTTGGAAAATTGGGACACTAATGCACTGTTAGTGGAATTGTGAACAGATCTAACCATTCTGGAGAGCCATTTGGAAAAATGCCCAAAGGGCTATAAAACTTTGCATACCCTTTGATCTAGCAATATCACCATTTAGATCTATATCCCAAAGATCTTTCTTTCTTTCTTTCTTTCTTTCTTTCTTTCTTTCTTTCTTTCTTTCTTTCTTTCTTTCTTTCTTTCTTTCTTTCTTTCTTTCTTTCTTTCTTTCTTTCTTTCTTTCTTTCTTTCTTTCTTTCTTTCTTTCTTTCCCTAATTGTACAAAAATCTTTATAGCAGCTCTTTTTGTCATAGCAAAGAACTGAAAATTGAGAGGATCCCCATCTATTGGGTAATGGCTGAACAAACTAGTATATTACTGTGATAGAATGGAATAGTGCTATAGGAAATGATGAGCGATATGCTTTCAGAAAAACCTGGAAAGACTCACATTAACTGATACAAAGTGAAATGAGCAGAACCAGGAGAACATTATACATAGTAACAGCAAAATTGTACAGTGATCAATTGTAAATAATTTAGCTATTCTTAGTAATCTAATGATCTAAAAATTCCAAAGGACTTATGGAAAATGCAATCCACATTCAGAGAAAGAACTATGGATTCTGAATGCAGATTGAAGCATACTTTTTAAAAACTTTATTTTTATGGGGGTTTTTTTGTTCATTTTTGGTCTGTTTTCTTTCACAACATGACTAATATGGAAATATATTTTATGTGGCTGCACATGTATAACCTATATTGAATTGATTGCCTTCTCAATGAGGGGGGAGGGGAAGAATGGAAACAGAATTTGGAAATAATTTTTTTTAAATATGTAAAAATTGTTTTTACATGTAGTTGGAAAAATAAATATTAAAAAAATTAAAAACATGGAATGGTCTTTTGGATAGTAAAAATGAACCAGGTGGTATCATTTGAGGTTAATGTATTAAATGTGTGTGTGTGTGTGTATGAGAATGTATACATTCTGAGAAAATCACCCTGTATCAAAAGCAATCAAAGAGTTTTCTTTGAAGACTGTATTATGTTAATAAAGCTGCCAGGAATGACGTGAGCAGCTGGGCTTCAGTAAGGGTCATTCAGACAGGAAAGATACTTATGAGGGAGAGGAATCAGGGTCCAGACAGAAGTTCACTCTTCCATGCAATGTGGAAGGCACTTTTCCTATATTTCTTATATTTTGCCTGCTTGAATTTTGATGATGAGCAATGTCTAAATCAGAGACCGTTAAGACATGGCAACAACTACTGGTTGAGACAAGGAGAAAATGAGTGTGGAATGGAAAAACCATACCCTAGATTTGCTACTTACTATCTATGTGACCTTGGACAAGTAACCTGATCATTTTTGGTTTCAGTTTCTTCATCTCTATAATGGATTAGTCAAACTTTAAGGCCTTTTCTAACTCTAAATGCAATGATCTTATAAGTTCTCATAGGAACAGGTGGGAAATAGGAATTTGTTTGACCCTAGTTCCTGCTTTGACCTTGGCAAGATTTTCAAGGAAGGGTTCAAAATTGGCTGGTCTGCAAGAGTAGTTGTTTTTAGGAACACCAAGAGGTCCCTCTGCCCCCCAAATATCTCACCTGCCAGCCTAACAATGATGCTGGAAATTTCTACCATTGCTTTTAGAGACATGTGCTTTTTAGTTAGAATAAAGCATGCTGCAAAATGATGTTCCTAGAGCGACATCATGATGTCACTCACCTGCTCAATAAACTCTAATGGCTCTTTATTACTCCTAGGATCAAATATAAATTCCTCCATTTAGCATTTCAAGCCCTTCACGACCTGGCCCCATTGTACCTTTCCAGTCTATTAGAAGTTATTCCTTTCACACACAACACAGGCCAGTCAAACTTTTTTTTTTTTCAACAGTTCCTTATAGAGGGCATTCCATCTCCTACCATCTGAGAGCTTAGCATCTCTTAGAATGTCTGGTTTCCTTTATGATTATGATTTATGATTTTCCTTTATGATTCAGCTTCAGTTCCACCTTTCACAAGAACCCTTTCCTGATG